TTTTAGATGTCTGTAATAGGTAACCTATTGAGCAACCTGAAAAATTGTGTAATTTCCTCCTTTTTTAGGATTGTCAAAAAATAAACAATACAAAATACTCTAGAGTCTAGACCACTCTAGAGATACTTCGGTCTAATTTTTCAGACTTCAAGTCCCAAAACTAAACTAGAAAAAGTGAAATAAGAAAAACGTTTTTACCCCATCTAGGGAAAATGGTTTTTGATATATTTCTAGTTTGTAACTATTCATCAATAGTTAAAAAAATTAATTTTTAAAAAAAATAAAAGTTAGGGCTTTGTTATTTTAACTTGAAAAATATCTAAATTTTTTAGGATTTTTTATTAAATTTTAAAAGAGAAAGGGTAAACTATTTATAAATGTTTAGCTCAATAAAGTATCTTTCAGGCACGAGTTCTTAGACTTCATCCATAGACTTATTACTATTTAGTAATCGGATCAGTAATTTAAAAGATATCGTCGGTCCAGACACAAAAATAATAAAATTTAAATACATCACTGTAGAAACGAAAGAATTAAAAATGTGTATTTATGCTTAATATTATATTTTAGGTCCCATTGAACAAAAAGCTCGCCAGGATTTTCCCACAATGATAATTTTCTTAGTCGGCAATTATTACCAAACGCTATGAAGAAATACATGTCACTGCGCCATTGTAAATTTAGATTTTATTATGTTTTACCTCAAATACCTATACTCGTGTATATTATATTATATTATTTCCTATAATTGGCAGTCCTTTTTTACGGGTTTTCGTTTAATTGCAATCGGTTTATGCATGTCGTTTCAGTGTTCATAATATTATAGTATCATGTAATACGCAGTGCGCTTGTATTTATACCGCCCCCAAGCAATAACATTAATGACGGCAATATAACAACACAGTAATATAGTAGTAACTATCCGGAATTGCCATCGCATGATTATTTTGTCGTGCAGCACGGGCGTATTAGAACAAAAAACAATGTGATTCGTGCTCAATTTCGTGGTCGCATAATGACCAGCTGCGCCTTGCCCTGTCCCGCCATAACACCACTCGTATACTCCGGCGGTAACCAAACTTAACGGCGGACACGAAGTCGCTGTTTAGTGTTTAAAAAGAAAAATAATATACCCTATTCATACTACAGACAGACCTTCCATTTTATATTTTTCCGTGTCTACGCATGCGCTACGCTACTACTGTGGCCAGTTAAGAGACTGTTTCCTACATTATATATATATGCCTATACACAATAATAAAGCGATTCCAGTGGAGGGAGCGAGGTCTCGTTCGGCCATTATACGCTTTTTAATGGTCGAAAAACAATCCAGGGCCCCGTTATACGACGTGATTAAAACGTACGGCACGACGCGTACCGGCAATATAATAATATTAGGTGTACTATACATATATAGTATAATGTATATAGGTATTATATGCAGCTCGTTGCGGTCGTCCATTATAGGGATTGTGTGCGCCGGACAAATTGCGGTGTGCCTGGTAGCAGATTGTTACGGCAACGAGTTGAAATTTGTTTTATGTTTACATTTTGGCGTTACCAACCAATTAAGGGACAAGCACACGCGGCGGGGATTGAACTTTGGCTACGGCCTCTCACGCCAAACTATTAGAGCTTAACGACACTTTTCCACTTTAAACCCGCCGCGTTCGTTAATGCGTCGCTTTCCCTCTCTCAGACAGACCCGAAGCTTACAGCACATGTAGGTATATGCACATACTTAGTAAGGCCGTGCGCGCTACACTATTTTGTGTTGTTGTCGAGAAGATTTTTACGACGATTGACTTTATACGGTATTACAACAAGTTAACAGGAACATTTCAAATAAAAAATTAGCTGTTGGTTCGGCCCTTGAAGTTTTATATTAGTGAATATTAATGTTGTGAAATGCTAGTGCGGCTTGCTTTTATATGTGAAAAATAAAGCTAAATCATGCTTGCTGCTAACTATTTGGACCTCGCTATTTGCCTATATGGTAGTTTGCCCCATTGACAATATCAATAATTGATATACTCGTATCATGATATACTCGTCTGTCTCGGTTTGGTATATAATTTATTTACTACTTCAGACTTTAGCGTACTTATACCGGTCATAATATGCAAGTCTTCGAGAGGATTTATGCGTTTTCTAAAAGAACTCGTTGCCGGCTCAATAGCTCTGGTGGGGTGTATCCTATTAAGTGTAATTTGTATGTGCCTCGCGCCCAGATATTCTGTATACACAGTACACACATACACGTGATATTATATTATATACAGTGAAATGGATATTTTATATATATAATAATAATATGGTCCTCCACACCGTCCCTTCCGTTTATCCTACCCGGGGACGAGGCGGGATCGATCCGCCCCTCGGGTACTTGCGGTGTTACGTCAAAAATCGTTGCTCGGTCGCGTTACTCACGCTCCGCCTCTGCCGTCACACACATCTGTACATATAAATAGCGGTGCAAAATGTGTATCAGCTATACATACAGAACACTGGCTTATAAGCACACGGTTACATATTATTATCATGTATATAATATATATACCTAAGCAGATAAGCTGCGTATACGGGCATTATTGAAACGTCCCCGGGCCAACGGGCATAAATTGCACAGCAACTAATAAAAACCAGCCGAGGGTGAGGAGAACAGACTGGGAAGGTCAGAGACACGTGTATTTATGTATATTGTATGTACAAATCGTAAAGTGGACGCGGGGGTAGGTTATGAGACCGCCCTCAATAATAACAGCGAGTGCGGCAGAAGATTGCGCGCGGCCGACTTGGGGTTATAAAAATGATATTTTATGATTTAGTATGTATAGTAGGTATGTATGGCTTGAACGCGCGGCAAGAAGTTATTTGAATATATAAGTGTACCGTCATTTTTTTCTTTATGGATTTTATTCAGTCGCTTTTTATAAGAGCATTAAAAAAACGAGAACATATTTCGATATTATATTATTATACCTATAAATGAAAAACCGTCGGAAAATAAATGTTTATATTATGCTCTCTCTCTTTTATGCATGTTAATAATATGTGGCAAGCCTTCTCCATCGCGCAGTTCCTATTCATCACATATAAAGTACCTACTTTTACTTTAATTCAAAAAGCCAGTTGAACTTAATAATAAGTAAACGGTCATTTTCTTTTACGGTTACCCCGTACGCACATAGTATATATATATATATATATATATATATATATTAAGGTATCCGATATTTTGGAATTTTTCAGAGTTGTGTTCCCGAAATGTTTTTTACTTCCACTCAATAAAAACATATATATATATACCTATAAATACCTAAACCTATATATACCTAAAATATAAAAAATATAATGTATACTTCATGTATAATACAAACATTTTACAAAGGTAAATTATTGGAGAGTATCCACGAATGCGCTTGTTTATAGAGCTCAAATAGTCGCGCATCTGGGGTTAACATTATTGACCTTATATCTACAGTAGTGTTTAATAAACATTAATCAATTAAAATAAATAAATACATTTTATAAAACCAAATAAATTTAATATCGTACTCATTGAAGTTAAACGCGATTTTGATATTTGCGGAGATTATATAAAATATCAATGATACTATCGTTGTCAGTAAACTTGTTATTGTAACTAATGTAAAGTGAAGACGACTCATAAATTATACGTTTGCAACAGTGTAATAAGACATTGTGAACTTCTATTTAATAATAATAAACTCATATATGATAAGTACATAACACATCGTGACATAAACCAACTATACACATAATATAAATATATGTTAGTGATAAATCAGTTGGCTCAAAATCTCAAACTAATAATTTCGAAGATACAGTTGTACTTATATAAGTTAACAAATATTATTTTATTTTATTGTTTTATTATCAATTGTACCTATACATAATACAAATAAATAAAGTTACAAAAGAACAATATGGTTTAATATATATAAGTATAAAAAAACGTTCTATTGTAAAGGTGATATATTTAAATCGTATATTAACAAATATATAGTTAATAAATAACACTCAATTAAACGATTATTCTAAAATCCAGCCATTGTCGAATTGGCCAAATATATTTTATATTTTACAAAATCAATTGTTTTAATAAATACATGTATTTTCGTATGAATAATTTGTTATCAATGTACCTAATAAGACTATTGTTGAACATACAATTTTTGGTATTAACGAGTAATGACAGTTAACAATTATACTTTAATATTTATTTTTGGCACTACGTTTTTTTCAGTGTAGTTAGTTTATAAATTAACAATGAATAAAATAAAATTATAATTTACATCATTCATGTAAATTTACTTAAAAGAGGAAATGTTCCACAAAAATGATTGACAATTATTTATTATTTAATAAACTGTACTGGTAACTTTTATTAAAATTTGGGTAGAATATAAATGACAGACTTTTAGTCGATTTTATTTTTACTCATAGTTTATATAACTAATTAGTTTTATTTACCTAATTAGAGTAATAGCCTTTTTCATATAGAATTATTACGTTCACAAACTTACACGTTATAAACAATTTCTTGTATACCTGACTTTTGCGGTAAGTCTTGTATATAGTCATTTTAGAAATCTCTGCGGGATTACATGTTAAAAAAACCACCCTTTGAGCAGTGTCGTACGTGGCACGAAACGTTCCCCTCGTGCTTGTAAAAACGTTCGGTACAACGGGTAAACTCATGTAATTTATCAAGTTTGGAAATTGCGTTATGAATGAAAAATTGAAAAGAAAAAAACGTTTTACCAGATTAAAATATGTCACACGAGTTAGCAAAGTTTTTTTATACATAGAGTCGGATGGGAACGTCATAGCAATATATTTATGTTATGTATGTTTTAGTTAAGATCTGTGTTGTAATGTTGCCACATAAAAGTAAAACTAAAAACGAAAATCTAGTACGGAAATTAAACTCAAATAAAGTATAATAAGTGAACTTTTTAATTGTTTTTCCACAGGGTGTGCAGGAGGACTTCTCGGTGCCCGACGCATAGGTCATCCGTACCAGAACAGAACGCCTCCTAAACGGAAAAAGCCCCGGACGTCATTCACTCGCAGCCAGATATCACAGCTGGAAGAGAAGTTCAACAAGCACAGGTACCTGTCATCCGTGGACCGAGCGGCACTTGCAAAGTCTTTAAAAATGACAGACGCACAGGTTAAGACGTGGTTTCAAAACAGACGCACCAAATGGAGGTGAGTTTATTAAAAAATTATGTACCTAGCTATTTTCTCAATAAATTATAAATCTTGGTTTCCTTTTGCGATTATCATAATAATAGCAACTGCCCGCTGTATCTATTGTGGTAGTAATTGTATGCGAAACAGACTGGTCGTTTATACATTTCTAAGAATTGTTTTTACAAAATTTCGTTTTGCTAAATCTACAAAATAATCCATTCAATGGTGGACACTCATTTTCTCTGAAAATAATTACCATTTTGTAGTTTTTCTTTTGGAAAACATTTCAGTTAATGTAATTTTACAGTAATAAACAATGTTTTTTTCCTTAAATTCTAGAGTTCTATCAACTTTTGAAACTTATAAATTAAATTTTTTTTTATTTTATTAAGTATAATTTGTTGAACATTGTGACTGGTCGACGACCAGTTTTTAATAATTACTTTTAAAGTTCAAAACATAGGACGTGAGGAAGGTGGATTGTAGTATTATATTACTCGACCGCACTCGTCGGTCTTATCAGAAATATAACATCAATGTCTATTTTATAGAAAATTCCATAATATATTTTTTTATCTATTGAATTCCAACTGAGAAATTTTTCTGCTCACATTCCTTCTTTTCAAAGAACTATTTTTTTGAAATTCTAATACCTACACACACAAAAATAACTCGAATCATACCCGTGCGTATGTCTTCGCTATTGCCTATTGATCAGTTCTGTGACTCACAGTTAATATAATATAATTTTATTATTTGGAATTTTGAATTTGGTATAATATACTACTCGTTAGACAACGTATGGATCTAATAAAAATAAAACTCGTTTTTTATAGTTCCACTTACAAAATATAGTTGATATCTGTTATCGAATTAGGAGTATAACGATTAACCAGACGTTCATAGCATATTGTATGATTTTTATAACAATACTGTCTAAAAAAACCACACACCCTTGTTCACTTTGACCAACTGATTTTCGTCTACTCGGTTATCGTGAATCATGCCGATCGGACGCCTCGGGACAAAGGCTCCCTACATGTCTAATCCATTCAGCTTCTGTATAATATTATTATTTATATTAAAGTAATATTAATACTACATTGTATACCAGATAAAAATCAATATTACAGTTTACAATTTAAAAGAACTTAATACTTTAGTGTCTGTGGAAATAATTGTTCGTCTTGAAAAAAAAGCTGCTAGATTTGGCCATTTTTTTAGACTATAATACGCAAGTTCTAAACAACTATAATGAAAGTAAGAGCAGAATTCAAAATTACTTTTCTAAGAAGAATACATTTAAAAAACTTTTGATAGCTTATTGTGAAAAGTTTGTAAGCATTTTTCTCCAGTGCTAATAACTATAATAATTAATAACGAATCCAAATTATACACTTTAAAAAACAAAAGGTACTTTTTCATTGTAAATGTAGCCAACCCGTTTTTCTAAACTATTACTCAATGTAAAAATTAGTTAAATTGTTAATATTATAAACTGATTATAAAATATTAAGCGTTGTATAAAATAATAAAATTAATGTACAATAAACAATTTAAATAGTGACGATAATAAATATGGAACGACCATGTTACATTTTAGTAATATTTTCTTATGAACACAATAATAATACTTTTTCGTTATGCTATAATATTATAAATAGAAGCGCCGAACTGTTTGACAAAATCTACACTCGCTACTCACTAGGTATATATCTGGGAAGTATAGAAGTTATTATATAAAAGGGTAGTAATATTGTAATAATATTGTACATAGTGTACATAAAAAATATATAATAGTAATAATAATAATAATAATAATTTAATTCATTCGGCGACGACAAAACTGGATAAACGTTAAGAGAAGTGAAACGGAGGTAACAAAAAAAAACTCAGTCCATTAGAAGCTTTTAAAATTCCTGTCACCTTTTCGGACCGTGCGCTATTAAGTGGTTTTAATATACCATTTTTTTTCTTCTTTGTTTTTAATTACACGTGTTCCGCCGGACGGTTAATGCATATTCCTTGTAATCGGTGGCGCCCTCAGCGGCGCGGATAAAACGCTGGCAAACCCGTTGCCGCCGCCCGACGTGTGTACCCTATTAGTTACTACCTCATATATTATAATATACCTTATACACCGCACACTTAAATATACATACATATATATATATAAGTGTATTATAATAATATAATGTCCATTACAACATTATTTATTTATATACATATAAAAGACACGGCGTCGTCGGCATATTACTGGACGTGTGTGTGTTTTACTACTACCGCCGCCGCTCTGCTTAACGTACAAGAGTTAACAGACAAACGGACATGTTTGTTCTGCCTCCCTCGCATTATTCTACTATAGTGTGTTATAATATTATAAAATGTAATATAGGTATACATACAATTTTATATACTCTACAAAAAAAAAAAACAATTTTATTATTCAACTCCTTTCTCCCCCTCTTTCTTCCGCCCCGGTGATTTATCTGTTTACTCTATTTATTAATGCACCAAAAAGAATAACCGTTTAAGTACGCTCTGGATACGTTTTGGAAACGAAGTATCGAACGACCTGTGCCGGTAATTGAATGGTAGAGGGGGGGGGGGAGACCTGTTTGTGGAAGTGCCAAAGGGTAGTCGAGACACTGAGCGGCGGTGCAGGCGATAAGCGCGGACGGCGCCACACGTTGCGACCAAATCCGATGACTATTATGTTAAGCGCCGCCGTGTCAAGTTATTTTTTTTTTAAATACTGGACATTGACAGATTAAAAAGGACACGTACACTGTATAGAATTTGGGTATTAATCCGGACTCGTATCACTAATACTTATTATACCACTCTGCATCGTACACTATAACATAAAAATACTATATGGTGAGCTGGGTTTATATATGTAAAATAAAAGGTATACGTAAGCAGTAAGTCTGTGTATATACATTAGTAATTTCATACGTAAAACTCAAATAGGTCTAATTTAATTCGGAAAATCCTGGCGACTTATCGATAGATAGAAATGCTAATGAAAAAATATTACATAATAGGTAATATGTATGTATATTATAATACTATGTAAGTACACAAGATTAACGTAAAAAGATGGGTAGCTAAAATAATGAATTTTCAATAAAATATCGTACCGTCAACATATTAGTGTACCTAGTTATTTAAAAATAATAGCTATCAATTATTTTTTTCTTATCGAATGTCTATATAGATTATTTATTAACGCTAAACAGGTCATCGAGTCGTCATTATTAGCATTTATACATATTTTATGGTTTTTCATCTTCAGTCAATCAGTAAGACATAAGTACCAATTGGCTATTGAGTATTTACACCCAATATAATGGTGATGGAATATAAGTTATACAGAAGTGTGTTTGATGTTGTTTACGTGCTAACAGATATCATTATATCAACATTAGTAAAGCAAATTAACTCAAGCTTTACAAATGAATCATGATCAACTATAAACCAGTTAACGCACACAATTCGTATATGTTAATTGGTCCAGTCGGCGAATCACGCTAAACATAGGCGGAGTCGTGTCAGTATAGGTAATATTATACTTGCTACATCCGTGAGCGTTAAGCATTTCTATTCTCTATCAAAGATCGAAAAGAGATTGATATAAGTATAATATTTGTATCGATGATTCGTGTTAATGTCCAACACGGACCTTATAGCGAATCATTATCATTTAAATTGTATTCTATTTGATTCGCTGTTATTCGAATATTTACCAAATTAACCTTGGACAAACCGTTCTCAAAAATGTATGTATATACACACTGTACATTATATAATTATATAATTATATAAACGACTCCCTGTCGTTAAATATGGCAAATGGTAACATTACCGCGCCTCATTTGGTCGCCGTGCGGTTGTTCGCTGATGTTAAGGGTGGCGAGGACGAGTCTGGAAATTATTGATGCGAAACAGTATCGTATAATATTGTTTATAGCGCAGCATCGTACCATATAATAATATTAGGGTTTACTGCGTCTATTTACAAGTGAATTACTTATATTATCCTTTTACATTAAAAGACTTTTCATGAAATAGCGTTTAACAAGCCACCGCGGCGTTTTTATAAGCCGTTCCGTTAAGGATATAATAAAAAGCTGTTATATTTACATACAACGTGGTTAAAAAATACTCGCGTCAGAACAATGTGGAATATACCTTTGTAATGCACGGTTTTATTGTTTTATTACAATCCTAAGTTTTGAAATAAAAAAATAAATTGTAGTATAAGAGTTCAATATGATGTATAGTAGTCATAATGAAAATACAGTTTGCCTTTTTTCCCTTATGAAAACAATACTATACTCTTGTGGATAATTTTAACAACTTTTAGCGCCACACTGTAAGCTGTATTATACCTACGTTGCCCGCCGAGGTGCTGACGTACGCCTATATCGTATAATATTAAAACAGGCCGCGAAAACCGGGCGACAGGCGTTTAATAATTGATGCGTTCGTTCGTTTGGTGTTCATAGAAGGTCCAAACACACACACACACACTTGACACTGCCCGTAGAAATCCGCTTTAACGTTTTAAAATCATCTGAATTATTCAGGCCGGCTTTTAAACTGTCAACTTTCAACGTGACGCGTTAAACGGGCACAAAACCAGACCAGAGTCCCCGTCACCCCCTTGACATTATACAAGCAACCCTTATGGCAGTGCTGACTAACCGACGACCGTCACATACACACAACAATACAACTTTTGGCTCTTTTGTGTATATTTACTTTACTGGAAATCCAATGATCACTCTCGGCCGCCCTACAATGAACACCTAACCGCATGACATTCCCATGTCTAATATTATTGTAATATAATAACAACTATACAACGATGTATATTTGAACTGATATCATAGTTAATCGCCTGATAACCCTAATGCCAGTCCGTTTGTGCGACCACGATTACACTTATTTTGCAGCGGTCTTAATGTAAAACGCTTGCGTTAAGGCTATATTATTTAAGTGTTAAAATCTGTTTTCTTAACGATTAACTTTTTTTTTTCGTAGACGTCACATGATGGAAGAACGGGAAGCTCAGCGACAGATGGCAACGAAAATGATGCAGTCTATGATGGACGACCGAGACGGCGGCGTGCGGCTAGGCGCCTTACAGGGCCTACAGGCTTGGTCACCCGCGGCCATGTCGCCCGGCGGCGGCAGCGGATCCGGCGGTCCCACAATGGTGCAGGCCCCTCAGCCGCCACCTGGGCACTTTTCCCTGTCCCAGGCGCCGATCGCTTCGCCCATGTGTTAAAGCACCGACCCAGGCCTTAAGAACCGGTAGTCGAGACCTTAAAGGCGCATGTAAACTAGACATATCGAGTTTTTCTAATACAGCTATTTATCTTATTACATTGTGTATTATGTAAAAAAAAAATAAACTTATTTGTACATATTATTATGTTTGTAAACCGCGGTATACATTATGTGTGATAGTAATATTTAGTCATTTCGTGTATAGAAATAAAATGTTTTTTTTTTTTTTAATGAAAGGAACAAAGTTCTAAATTATGACGTATTTGTCGTACCTCTAAATTATTTGTCGTTATGTAAGAAAATACTGGTTATAATTTATAAAATATAGAGACAATTCCCTCAATGGTTTTTTTTTATTATTATTATTGAAAATGTTATAACGTTAAACAACGTGTGTGTACAGAATTTTTTTCCATTTCTGAAAAATATAAAACTAAATATAATATTTATCATGTACAGTTTTCACGAGTAGATATTATAAAACATTATACCTAAGTATCTAACATGTTTTTGGATATAATCATTCTTGTGTGTATAATTTTTTTTTAATAATTATTAAGAATATAATGAGTATTAAACGTCACTTACACGGTTATGTGTTTGGCGAACCATAAAAGGTGTTTTAACTTTAACGTTGTATTAATTAATTACATGTAAGTTCTAAGTGAAGACTCAGTTGAAAAACTAAACAGCTTGAGACATCCTATACTTTAAAATATATGCTTAAATTGTGTGTGCAATGTTAGATATTATAGCTGTTGTTGTACGACCAAGAGCATTTGTTTTTGTTTATAAAGAATAAAAATAAGTTTTATTATAATATAAATGCTTTTTGCTGTCGTTGACTAAGATTAGGAAAGTTTATACTTTACATCATTATATTATATATTTGTTACAAAACAGCGCCTACCTATTCTTTTCCCACTGATTATATTAAAAACATTAAAACGTCACAAACTGCTTATAATATGATATATTTATAGACGTAAATGATAATTGTAACTTACATTTTTTATATAAAATTAATAAAGTACTTATGTATTGTGTATTGTATATTGTGTATGTTTTTATTTTTTTATGTTGTTTGAGTTCTTCTGAAAAATAAAAATCCGTATGTCAAGCAGGCACCGGCACACAAGACTAAGACTAAAAATCATATAAAACTTTTGTTGGATTTACTAGGACCCCCTAGGGGCTAGGATAACGTTATACGAGAAACTAACAAGGGGGGTATTAACTTGACAACACACCGGCACATCGCCAAAATGCCATATTCCATATGACAAAATATTTATGTAGAGAGGTGCTTGATTTCATTTTATTTTATAAAACGAATTCCGTTTATGGTATTATAATTTGAATTGCTTATTTTTTATAAATGTAATAACAACAGTCACAATAATAATAATTTAGCCATCGTGTAGGTATAAAGTTTAGGCACAGTTTATTATAAATTATTATTATAGTCATATTATTATTCAATAAAAAAACGCTTATTATAAACTTGTATAATTAAAATAAAATGTTTTTTTTTATTTTTCGTATATTTTAATGGTTGCTCGAAAACTTGTTTGTGTTATCAGTATTAATTAAGCATTAGTAGACGCTAAATAATAATGCTATGGCTGGGACCCAGTTCGCTTGATTGGTCACACGGGTACGTCAAGAAATCAATTCAAAACTGTGTTGTTTGTATAATTCCAACAGTATGTAACAGTATGATGGAACTTAATACTATATTAGATAGGTGAGAAAGTTAGACCTATATTATTATGTCAATATTACCTATTATATTTATACAAATTCTTTAAGTTTGATAAAAAAAATCGCTTGAACGCGAGACAATCCGAATTGATTTAAGTCATGTCAGATTTGAACGAAACAGGTACTTGAGATATTTAAACTAACTACTATTAATGCGCACATCACTTTTAATATTTATAACACTTTATGACATAATTTAAGAACAGGAACCAAAATACATATAATTTTTATGATGAACCCAAATATGGTCTCTAGGACATCAATTTGTTTTTCAATCGCCTTCATAAAATTGTAAACAAAAATACGAATTTTCTCATATTTTTCTCTGGTGTTACATTTAATGCTACATTAATATTATAAGGACAGTTCTAACTCAGCGTAATAAATACAATTAAAAAATATTTGAAATAAATTGTAGACAATTATTGAAACGTACAAAACACGCTAAGTTATGTATTATAACTTAAAGAAAATTAAAAAATAACTAATGTTTAAAAGTACAAGAGAAATTGTTGGTTATTTAAATAAAACAGTTACATTTACATTTTTCTCATTTGTTTACAATTACCCTGCGAAATTAGTGTTTTATACGTAAAAGTTTACATTTACGAAACAAAATATGAATATACTTTTTAGTTTCGAGAAAGTATTTAAAATTAATTCAACAATTTTTATTTTTGACTCACGATAAATCAGGTATTACATACCAAATCAATCAATCAATCATACTAATCATAAACTGCATTCTTTTAGATGAACTAAATAAAATGCGTATACAGTCCTAAAAGTGATTTTTATCTTTGTTGTAAACCAGAAAAGCTATTGTTTGCCATGTGTTACGACAAATTAACAAACGCTGACCCTTAAACCGCTGGTGCCCATTTACTCAGGATGTCTTATGATATCTATTAACCAGAAATTGTATCCGGAACGGTTCTAACCTATCCTAATCGTACGGTTCAAAATTGAAAATTATTACTTATTCCTCTAGTTCTTCGAAATTTAAACTTTGATTTTCTAGAGCTTCGTGAAAAATAGTAAGAACAAATCATCATTTATGTAGATCTTGTGTATGTGTCATTATATTTTAATATTATATTTCATGTTCAATCTTTTTTAAACGTTACTTGTCTTTGAGCTGTAGGTAAATAATAATTTTTCGTCACTAAAATATGGTTGTAGAATGTGGGTGTGTTTATAATAATTGAATAAACTTCAAAATATGTAACCACACCGCTTATAATAAGACAACTTATTGCTTAATTCAACGAAGTAAGAATATAGCTGATTTTTAAGGAGTTTGTACAAAATTAATACAGTAGCAGATTCCTTAAAGGAAAATTACACATGAGAACTACAGTAGTGAGTTATTTTTTTAGGGGAGTTCACATCTGCTCTTTCATATCCGCATTGAACAAAATATACAATACCATCACAACCAATATGTTTTCATATAAAAATGTGTTTTATATATTATATTATATAACATAAGTTTACATATTTTTTATTGTAATCTACTAGCGGCAACACATTTTGATGTACACGGCAGTCGGCACTGTGTTTTACTTTTAAACAGGTAAAATGTATAAAAACAAATAGATGATTGTAAAAATGTACGGTAGAGAAATTATGAATTAAAGGACAAAAAAAATATTACCCAAACCTGCTAGCCACGGCTTGGCGATTATATTTCAAAACTCGAAAAACTACAATACTCTACTCTTTATTACTATAAAAACAAAACTTTTTAAGAGGATTACAATATTTTACAAGCGCCCTTAGTATTGTATGCGACCCAATCGCTGCCAGTGTTACGTGGCCGGTGGGCTTCAAAATTCACGCGTCATACTTAGTGTGTTATAACTAATAAATTATAATATTTTAATGGATACAACGTGTATTTGTGGACACTTATTATAATAATCCCGAGAACGAATGCTCGTTTTTAAATACACCTTTAAAATATGTATACCATATAATAATAATAATAATAATACAGGGTATACTGTGTGTCACTAAATTTTTAATAAAAATAATATAACAAGCAACGTTTGTGTGCGGTTTAAAATACTATATGATTGTATGTGTGAATTGCGATACAATGTCGGCAAATTCTCCTGCTGTTGGCATTATTAGACAACTATATAACACTATAATATACCTCCTACTCCCAATACTGCAAGATGCTTCGAGAGATCGACGATTTCCTCACCCAAAGAGAGGTAGCGGCGGCGCTTCTACGATTGTGATCACTGACAGTTTTACGATACAGTAGACGCCACATGACGCCATAAAATAATACTTTAGCTATAAAAATAAGTACAAATTAAAAACTGACCCACAATAAAAAAACATTGAAACATCACACCATTCAAGAATAGCTTTCCCTTTTGTTTAATTTTTTTATTTTTCTCTAGAACGCTCACTACATTATAACACATGTAATACATACATTTTGACTTTGGTGTACAATTGTATGCATCCTTCTTTTATTGCTGTTATTTATTTGAAAGAGTTATTACTATTCACTATTCCAATAATGAAAAACCGCATATTAGGTAAACTCGATTTTTGTAAAAAAGATGATCAGGTAGAACACAATAAAAGTCAAGAGAACACCCTTCCAGAAAATCGAATTTATCAATTTATACGACTTCTATTGAAGTGGGTACAATTTATATTTATCTTAGTAACCCAAGCAGAACATTCAGTTTTTGGTAAAACATCGTAGAGTTTAACGCCAGTTCTTAGACTAGAAAACTCAATAAGTTAGTAATAAATACATAATTCGAAATTTATGATGAGACCATGGCTTCCGTTATAGCACTACGAATTTGGGAACATAATGAGAAATTCCCGTTTACTTTCCGGTTAGGTTTGGTTACTACGCGATGTTTATCGGATTCCACAGGAAGTGAACGGAAAGTTATTTTTAATCTTCAAATAGTTGTATAGGTATTTGTTTAGACGCATTACACAAAAACTAATACTAATGAATTAATAAATAAACCTACCTAGAAATGAGCATGAGCATGACACAAACCGCTAAAATAGTAATATATCAAAATAAACAAAGATGAAAGCAAAAAAATAGATTATAACTATTCTATAATGAAATTATAGATCCTAGATAATTCTGGAATATAGTATTTTTTTATATACCTACGTGGTTATCAAAGACATGTTTGAAAATGTCAAAACTATTTTCAGAATAATATAAAGTACCCTAAATGTCACATAATGTTATTACTAGTTTAATTGATTTGTTTTTCTGGTTTATTAAAATAAGATAAGTAGTATACTTTTTTTTTCGAACAAAATGTTATGACCACAGGTAGAATATACTTAGCAAATCACAAACTTAAAAATAAAAAAAAAATCCTAACATATTTGCCGTTTTTAATAAGCACAATTGTGACTTAGAATGGTGAGTACTAAACTACATTATAATCCAAATAGATGGAGTGATGGTGTGTCGGGGGAGAATGCGATGGTATCGATTGTACATTATACTGTGTACAAGCGACAAATTTGTTGAAACACTATAGCCGTGGGTATACACACTGTCATACTAAGCAATAGTGCAATACGGTGGATGAGGATTAATACAATACAATATAACGTTAAAGGCGCGTGCCCACAAACGAAAACAATTCCCCGGCGACCTAAACTAAATGGCTGTGTTTGGGTCATGTGTGCAATGTGTGTGTGAATTGACCATGTCCTCCTATACTCATCCTTACCCCCGACCGTTTGGAAAACGTCGGTTTTTATTTATTATATTATGCGACAGACATCTGTGTCACGCGCAGCAGCCGTCGATTTTCATAAACCTTTACAACAACCGAAAAAGCTGTCCAAAAATTAAAAAAAAAACTCATAATGAATTCAAACACATGAGTTTTAAACCAAACGCTATGGAATATCTATAATCTCCTACACGAGGCCTATGATAGACTTTACAATTTATTAAAAAACAGTCTCATTTTTTTTTACAAAAAGGCCACTCCCTAAAAAAACAAAAATTTTCATACGGATGTATTGCAAACAAATTTGTTTTTAAACATAAATGTTAATTAAAATTAAAATAGTCTTGAAATGTAAAAAAATAAATCAAAATTTAAGACCTGTATTTTTATAGAACTTTTCCAAGTTTTACGGAAATTAAGGGGAATAGTTATACTCAGAACATAAGTTTATATTATAAATGTT